TGCAGAGATCCACAGCCAAGCCCCAGGTGGAGCTCCAGGAGTCCAATCAGTGAGAGATATTGAGACTGTGATTAGAAAAAGCACAGGGACAAATACCGAAACTAGTGGAAACATGAACTGTGAACCAATAGCTGGGGAGCACCAATGGAACTGCATCAGGCCCTCTGGATAAGTGAGACAGTTGAGTATCTTGAACTATTTAGGAGGCCCCCAGGCACTATGACCAGGACCTGTCCTTAGTGCATGAAATGGCTTTTTGGAACCTAGGGCCTATGCTGAGACCCTTTGCTCAGCCTTAGTGTAGAGAGGAGGGGACTGGACCAGCCTTGACTGAATCTACCAGGCTGAGATGAATCCCCACGGGAGTCCTTGCCCTGGAGGAGATGGGAATAGGGGGTGGATTGTGGGGAGGTTGGGGGAGTAGGAAGAGGGGGGACCAGGGAATCTGTAGGTAATATATAAAATTAAATTAATAATAAAATTTAAAAAAATAAAGTGCTTCTCTCACTAAAGTGCTAAAACAATGTTTTGCAAGCTCTACTGACTGATTTCTGCCCCAAGCATTTAACAGGATCCTCTTAATTCTGATTTATTCAATGGGAAAACTTTTACAACTCCCAAACATATTCTGTTACAATAGTTTATTTTTGAAAAAAATTCCCCCCATTTTAAATGGGGCAGTTCACTTCCACTCAAACAAGCAAACCTTCCACATAAGAATAACAAGACAGAGAAGAAAATATTAATAGATGGACTTAATAAATACTACATGAGTTATAATAAGACCCCAAAATCTTTTATGTGCTTCTATTAAAACACACCAATGGGCACAGGTGGCATTTATTTGTTGTTAGATTAGGCAGGTAAGGATTCGAATTCTGAGATTGGACCAGGCAAACACAACTCTATATTTAGGATCAAACATGATGACTTCTAACTTCCCTCTCCATCTTCTTTGCTTTTAGCATCTGAAAGTGGCTAATAAATAAAGTATAGCTAGCTGGTGAGTCTTTCCAAATGATAAAAGAACAGGATCAAAACACAATATTTGGTAACAGTCATGAAGAAAAGTGTTAATTTTTTTTTCAGCCAAGTGAAGTGATTCTCTGCTACAAAGCATCATTTTCAGCATTTTTGGTAAGTTCAGCATCTGATTCCTCTGTTCCCAGAAAAGATGTTCACCTGAAAGAGATGTGCAGCTTAGCTCATATAAATAGTAGCTCATCACTCCCACCAACAAAACATGTAAACAAACAAACAAAGTCCCACTTATGAAGGAAGTGATTTTATAAGACATGCCTGGAGACAGCCCCCATCTCCATAGTGCATCCTAAAACATTTTTCTCTAGGTAGAAAAAACTGACATGCAGAGAGTCTAAACTGCCAAAGACATAACCAAGAATCTCCTAGGTGTGCCAGCTGTCCTGCTCTTGTTTTTCACTCTGTTCCTCAGACCTGCATTCTAAAACTGTACCTGTGGTTATTTCAGACCATATTCTCCTTGGATAGCTTTTGGTGTAGCTCAAAATGGCCTGTTTCATGTTCTAGGAGGAGAAGGAAAAAAATCAAAGTGACTTTTCACATCTGATAATATCTAGTTACTTTGAAAGGAGGAAATTTATATAAGATCTATTTACAGAAACCTTGATGAAGAGGAACAGAAGTTAGAGGGAAACTGAGAAGTCCTCACAGGGATATTTGTACATCAGGCCTGGAGTTAATCTCCAACCTAAGGTAACTAGTGGACACATTGCCAGTCATTACTTATACCCCGTGCATACCTGGAATTTAATGTGCTACTTTGCTCTCAGGTTGAAGGAGCTTCTTCTGACCTTCAAGGAAGGACATAGCATAAAATTGAAATTCATAGTCAAGGCAGTGAATTCACATCCAATTCCCAATATATGAAAATTTTAAAGGTTAGGAAATTCAAAGAAAAATTCATTCATTGAAGTGAAGCTTGTTGTATATAACACATTAGAAGAATTTAGCATAGTACTTGATATGGTAAGACAAAATCAGGGGACATTTGTTGACAGGGTGAAGTGGTTTGTGAGTCTATGGGTGTCTCTGTGTCTTTGGAAAACTGTGACAGGAA